CCATCCGCTGATCTGTGGTCCTCCTCCAAGCTGTAAACAGTCTGATTAGAAGCCACGCTGGGGGCCGCTGACAGGGAAAAAACCAATTAGGCAGCAGGAAGGGCTGCGAGGGCGGCATGCAAGACGGTTTGGTTTTTTTATTTAATGTTTCTAGTTATTAAAAGTTCTCTGGCTGACAGCGTAGAGGACCTGTCAGGATTCTGCTAGGCGTCTCGACCGTAGAGCCTTTTCAAGACAACTCAAAATATTTTGCCCAACCCAGCAACCTTAGCACTTTTCTGGATGGCTTCCGACACCACGGTTCGCTGTTGCCAATCACGCGTGATTGCTGTTTCAGCCTGCTTAGCATGCTAAGAACATTAGCAAATAACAGAAACGGTAACAGGCCCAGGAATGTGTCCCCGCGTGACTGCCAATTTGTGGGGCCTTCTTGCACGGCCCCTGAAGACGAGCGTCACTGTATATCCAGGTGTGTGCAGGTCATGTGCCTGATGGGATACAGCAGGGAGATCAGCACAAACATTTGCTACTCTGCCTCGTCGCTTATCGCACTCTGATGTAGTTTTATCTTTCCCTCCGTGGGGGGGGGGGGGGAGCATGTAGCGTGTAGCGTGCCCCGAAGAGCCACACTTGGCCTTGCTTCCCTCAGATCTCTGCTCTTTGCTCCCAGTTCCCTGATGTGACTCTTAAGATATCCATCTCAGTTCAGCAAAATGGCAGAAATGCAGATTTAAAAAAAACATGGGGGCCAAGTCAAAACATCGTGCTTGGATGACAAACAACCAGCGACGGGCCACCGGAAGGAGGAGGCCTCCCAAATGGCGAAATAAGGCCCAGCGTGCTCAGGATCAAGCCACAGCACTCTCAGTTTCAGAGTATTCAATATAAGCCAATGAAAGTCCATCATATTCCATGTTTAGGTCAATCAGCCAATAAAGGTCAGCCTTATTACATGCTTATGCCCATCAGAATCGAGAATGAGACTTGAACCATAGATAGCAAATACTGGAGTGCTAAAGTCATTAAACTCAGGGCTGGGGCCCTGCTGTAATACCCTGGAACAAGGTCTCTCTCTTTCAGTCACCTGTCCGTTCGCATAAATGCGGGAATTTAATGAACTGTGCTGTGAAACAAATGTGTGTGATTTAGAGTGACATGCATCTTCTCTTGTACTACATGAACTCACCCCACACGCTCAGGCAATCTCTGTATCAACACCCCCCCCACCCCACCCCACCCCAGATGAGAACATCTTGTAATCAATATAAATCTGGCTCGTTTTCTGCTGAGTTTTGAATCTAATCTCATAACTCCAAAGAACTGTCATCGTGGCGCTGAGTAAATTATTTTCACGTGTCCAGAGTTATTCAGGATCAGAGTGAAGCTACACGCTACAGCAGAACAGCTGCTTGTCAATGAATCTTCATGAGAGCCAGGAAATCAGGGCCAGGGAATGGGCTGAATGGAAAGTGACGTGCAGCCCCCTCCCAGGAGCTGAGCCTGACCCGCCGTCCAGCTGTTCCCATAAAACAGCAGCGTGAAAAAGGCCAAATGTGGGCGGCTGTCGGCGGCACACAGCTATTGGCTCTCTGACTGCACGTGCCACCAGTCACTGTGAAGAGTGTGTTGACAGGGAAAGGAGGTCTGGATGCACAGGGAAGCAAGGGCTGAGTCTCAGCCATCATGGCCTCAGGCCAGTTTAAGCGGCACAGATATTTGTCTCTGATGTCCAGCTGCTGATTCCTAAGCACAGGCATCCAGGTAAAAACATGCTGAGTGAGTCAAGTGTGTTGCTGCTGCAGTGCAGAAGCCCAAACCACATCTGCTTAGGGTGAAGTATGTCTTCACCGTAACAGGAAGCATGACGTCATTCCAGTTTAAAGAAGACCCACCACGTCTGACTGTGTCCACGAGGCGCGAGCCGTGTCACCGCGACGTGCGCTCGTCGCCGCTTTCAGACGAGCGACCTCGAATTGGCCGGAAGCAGAGTTGTGCCAGGCCGCTGCGGGTCAGAGGGCACTGCCACAATTGACCAGGTTAATTTGCTAATCCCACACAGCGGCACCCTTCCCCTCCCCGAGCAGGAACTGCTCATTGGCCATATTAAAATGAGAGCTAATTGGCTAGTTTACAATTGACCTGGAGCATCAGTCATGACCTTTCCTGCTGCTCCCGGCAAATGGGCCCCATGCGGGGGCTGCAGGGCTGCTAAGGAGGCTGTGTGTTTGCGGGGGGGGGGCACAGAGCCCCTTCTTTCTCCTTACAAATCACTGCATTTAACATGATGATAAGAGGCCCTGTGATTACTGGGGAGCGGCTACATGTGCTGCCCTCCCCGTCAAATCAGCCACACGCTGAACAGGCGCCTTAATCAGAGCCATAATGGGCCACTCCACAATCACAGATGCCCACCCCCCCCCCCACTCAACACTGATTGCAAGAGATGAACCACCTTCCAATACCCCCCTCCCAAAAAAAAAACTCCCACAGATTTCCAGACCCGGGCACCCCAGCCTCTGCTATAATGCCAAATGATAATTTTGAAAAGAATTTATAATCACCCCTGTGTCTATTTAGAAGCTAATTGTTATTTTAAGACATTTATTATGGGTCCCTGTTGATTATAGTGTTTAATTAAGGTTCGGGACACATTCAGTCACCCTCCAAACCAGGACATTATTCATTATGGACATGCAGTGAATAACAATACATGTCTACCCAGAGGCTGATGAGCTGCCATTAAAGAGCCATACAGGCGCACAGAGAACACGCACACATACCGGAGCACAGGCCACAGAACCCCCAAAAACACGCACACATACCGGAGCACGGGCCACAGAACCCCCAAAAACACGCACACATACCGGAGCACGGGCCACAGAACCCACAAAAACACGCATGCATACCGGAGCACGGGCCACAGAACCCCCAAAAACACGGACGCATACCGGAGCACGGGCCGCAGAACCCCCAAAAACACGCACACATACCGTAGCACGGGCCACAGAACCCCCAAAAACACGGATGCATACCGGAGCACGGGCCACAGAACCCCCAAAAACACACATACATCCTCCAGCACGGGTCGCAGAACCCCCAAAAACACGCATACATACCAGAGCACGAGCCACAGAACCCCCAGAAACATGCATACATCCCGGAGCACGAGCCGTAGAACCCCCAAAAACACGCATACATACCGGAGCACGAGCCGCAGAACCCCCAGAAACATGCATATATTCTGGGCCACGAGCCACAGAACCCCAAAAAACACACATACATACCAGAGCATGAGCCACAGAACCCCCAAAAACACACATACATCCCGCTGCACGGGTCGCAGAACTCCCAAAAACACGCATACATACCGGAGCACGAGCCGCAGAACCCCCAGAAACACGAATACATCCTGGAGCACGAGCCACAGAACCCGCAAAAACATGCATACATACCGGAGCACGGGCCGCAGAACCCCCAGAAACATGCATACATCCTGGAGCACGAGCCGTAGAACCCCCAAAAACACGCATACATACCTGAGCACGAGCCACAGAACCCACAAAAACACGCAGAGGATATCATCATCCCACCTTTTCCTCAATCGTGCGATTACCAGCATTGAGGCCTGTCTGTTTCCTGTTTATTGCAGTGAGCGTTACCCATGGGCTAAGCATGAATATTCTCACTCATCAGCTGTATTGTGTCCTGTCCAGCTGCGCATCAGCTGCCAGGATCACATTTTTAAACCCGTTGCATCACCCAAATATCCGACCATCTGTACATAACTCTCTTAGGGTGTGAAAAAACACACATTGATTAGATGTTAGGCTATTCAGATGCCCGATTAAACAAATAAACCAGTTTGATGCCAGTGTACCCGGTCCATCGCCTCCCAACAACAAGGCTTCCGAAATTTTGTCTTTTCACCTTGTCAATCGCAGACAAAGCAAGTCTGGCAGCATCTGTTTGCCTTTTAAATCCTAAGATAAGGGCATTTAAAACTGCCACTGTATTCATTCAAGCCTAAGCATAACCCATACGCAGCAGAGCACACATTGACGACACACAGGAACACTGGAGACAATCGCTACAGAATGCAAACATGGGAAATACCTTTTAAATAATAATCCTTTACCTCTGCTTAAACACTTTCAGGAACCCTGCTGACCTCTCCAGCACTTCATGGACCTCCTACAGCTAAATAATGAGAAGCTACATGGAATAATTTTGTACATTTGTTAAGCTTTATGTGTCAGTGTAGCTCAGAGCCCAATGCGGCATCTGGGAATCAAACACCATCAGCTGAGGACAGACAGGAAGCAGAAAGATGGATCCTCTCCTATGGTGGCAGGGGTGACAGAAACCTTTATAACACAGTGTAGAGGAGGGGTATGACTTCAGGGGACATTCATTTCACAAATTCACATGATAGTACTCTCAGAACTGCTTGATGCTTAGCTAGTGGAAAACACAATTTAAAGAGCAATCAGGTGTTTCAAGCACTGAAAAACATTGCCAGTCATACAGACCAGCGTGCAGCCATCCGTCATTCAAAGGGCTGGGTGCTCCACCTACTGGTCAGACCTTGTTTTGCACAATGCCTTCTAATAGGATTCTGGTTGGGGGGTCTCAAACAAAGCAAAACCAGCCTTCGTCTGAATGCCCTACAAGAGGATACAGCCCATTAGCAGCTGTGTTTACTACTGTCTCGGACACCAAACGGCAGATCTTTGCCGCTGATGATGTTTATAGTGACAAATTCATGAGAAAATAATCCAAGAGGCAGAATATATGATGATTAAATACTAATGGACCATCAACTGTGAAACTTTAATACAGCTTAAAACACATTCACATAAGCCTGCAGGCGGATTTTAATTAACACAAATGAGAAACACAGAGACTAATGAGGCAAGACCCCTAAATGAGCCGTGCTAACGGGCTCCATAGGAAAGGAAACGCCCTGGAACCCGACCACGCACCCCCCCCCCCAGCCCGAGCCGCGCACCCCCGCGAGACCCATGCCACACTCGTGCGTAAACTGAAGCGGATTTACTGAAACACAAAAGCAAAGAGGCGGATGATTGGCGGAGACAGGCTGCTTTCGCTTTGCTTACACTTTCACCGCCCAATGCAGACAAACTGCAGGCAGTGATGAGCATCTGCTGGGCAAAACGGAGGAATGAAGTGTCAGCTGTTTAAACTTGCAGTCCGGGAGCCAGGCTTACGGTGCACTCAAGGACATTCCTGCTTTAGCCTCCCATCCTCTCTCGACAGGCAGCTAAACTGCTATGCTTTCTCTTTACTTACTTTTGAAAATTATCACTTTTGTTCAAATGGACATAGAGTATTTGATCATTCACTCATACAGAGTCCTGCCTTGACCTGGGTAATCTTTAGGTGACTGGTTAGTCTGGGTTAACCTGCACACGTTTCAGTAAGTGTGCAGCAAATTCAATCATTCTCAGACTGCATGTGACAAATCCTGGTTAAAAGTTACAGCAGCAGGTGGAGTCCGCTTTCCAGAGCACCGTCCTCCTCCGATGACGTGTCGTCTTTGTGACTGTCACATACGTCCTCCGGCTCTTGAGCCTGTCTCCTTCTTCGCTTGTACACAGACTTTTCCGCCTTCGCATCTGTCACCTTCGGGCTGTGACATTGCTCTGCACACATCGCCGACTGTAAGCAGTCGTAGAATCTACAGGTACAGAAGCCATTGTTGTTGAGAATGCAGAATCTGCGACCAGTTGCAATTCGAGCATCATACGGAGAGGGGTTACCTTCTCATTCGTCTGAAGTTTTCCTCCATTTTCTGATTGGCCACTTCCACCAGAAAGCTGACGTAATCCCCACTGACCAGCTGCTGGCCTTCATGCGTGAGAGGAACTTCCAGACAGTGCGTGCTCCTTACAGCCTAGAGAGAGATGACAAAACACAGTGACACCGCGCAAACACAACTGTGCTTCTCTGAAACGGGGCCGATATGGTAAAGGAATTTAGCTTAAAACGCAAAGAAATATCAAAGCTATGAATGAAATGCATTATCAGAAATAGGTTTTAGCTCAGAGAACACAAATAATTTCCCAGCTCTGTACCGTAATGATTTTACCCTTTTTGCCAACAGTCATCCCTGAGTTTCTGAAGCCAGAATTTACTGCCACAGAGTGCTGTGAAACAAGAGCAGAGCACACATCCTAAACATTATTAATACTGATAGAAAGAAAGAAAGAAAGAAAGAAAGAAAGAAAGAAAGAAAGAAAGAAAAACTTTATTAATCCCTCAAAAAGGTTCCTCCGGGAAATTCAGTACTACTACGTTTTTGAAATATATAAAAATTCAAATTTCAAAAGAAACAAATTTTGAGGACAGAGATTATAATACTATTTGACATAATGTACATAGGTGCTTCTGAAACACAAACTGGTGTTTGTGTAATTAAAAGTACATTTGTATGTAGGGGTCTGTATCATACTAGCATCCCACCCACGGTTTACCTCTGCTGCATGGGACTGGTCCCTCACAACCCTGACCAGGATCAGCTCTCGGAAGACAGATATATGCCAAAGAAAGTTAGTTTGCATATTATGTTTCCATACCAGGAGTTGGGCGTCCTCCAGCCTCCGGCACTGCACGTGCAGCACGAAGGGCTCGAACCGGAAGGACGCGTCCCCTCCAGCCCTCGCCAGGCTCGCGACCTGCAGGAATGACAGCGCTGCATCACCAACTGCACGGCCGTTGTATGGTGAAAGAGTAAAATATGGACTAACCACATCGGCGCTTTGGCACTTCTGGTGCGTCACGAAGAGCCAGTTGCAGTCTTTCTTCTGCACCTCCGAGACCTTGGGGCGCACAGACAAAATGATGCACAACAGACAGTACATTTTGATATACCTATATTTATTATATAGCCAATATTTAATCATTGGTTTTATTCTTTGAACATACTGCATCAATTTACAACCTTAACAGACAACAAAAACCCATCCTAAAATGGTCACTATGAATGTCAACGGTAATGATCAGCCTGTGGCATTTCGAGCGGGCAAACCAAATAAAGCACTCCAAGCTTAATCATTAACAAAAAGTTGCTTAATTTCTCTTTCCGAAATATTCGCAAGATCAAATCGAATACGGATGCCCGCAGTCATAGTTTTCTACAGCAGGTTAGTTACGTCTGATCGGTTTTTAAAATTGTTTTTCGAGATTTACCAAACAATAATTAAGTAATATTACTTGATTGCCTACAAAATTACCGGAAGCAGTACACTGTACTGTTTTGCTTGGTAAGCAGGATAGCGGTATATTGTACGGCAAGTCAATAATCTGTCGGGTATAGTGTCACTGGCCTACCCCATCTATGAGTGTTATTCGTCCGGAACAGGAGCTTGTCGTGAAATAATTCTCAGAATCGTTAATAAACGCAACGACGTCCGAAATGTCTTCATCGACACTGCCCTTCTTGCTCAAGTCGATTTTAGACATACACTGTTTCTTCCATTGCAGGAATCTGTCGTCCATCGCAACGAATTGAATAAGCGCGTTATGTTTGCTATATCCAATTTTAACACGCAATATTCGGGCGAAAAGCGTAATATGATTTCCTTAGCGAAGGTAAACCTAGCGCTACATAATCCACACGTTTTGCTATGGAGATGAACTACATTACCCAAAGACCCGCTTCTACGGTGGCTCGGGCGATCCAAAAACGTTACTACAAAAACAAAACAATTGCACTTTCTCTAGGCTTCGTACATAAATGCTATCGTAAACAACTTGTTTAAAGGCTCGGTGGGTTGAAAGTGGAGATAATCTTTTGTGCAGGTGTAAATCGTTATCTAAGAGAAATCTAAACACCTACATAATGTGTTTAAAACCACACGTATTGATTTTGGACGTAATGTCTCGGCCGCGTTTGTTCCGCGACAGTACCAGGCGGTGTATTCTTGTTGTCTTGTGACATAAACACAGAAATCGCCAACACAGCACAACAAATGCACGTCTTACCGTCGGTGACGCTTCAAACTGCAGATTTAGTAATGGGTTCGAAATCCGAACTAATCAGGAGTCCTTGTCTGGATCAGTAAGATCTATCTGCGGTCTAGTGTAATTTAGTAAACGCAAAACAGCCTAAAAATGCCGGATGCATGGCGACCAGGACAGGGAATATAAATCTGCCTGTGGTTTTGTGTCCCTGTGTTTGTCAGAAAATGGCAGCATCGAAGGTGATGAAAGCTATCAGAGTGTCTGAATTTGGAAGTCCATCGGTGTTAAAGTTGCACTCAGGCATCCCTGTACCAAATCCAGGTCCCAAACAGGTAAAGTACACCAGGATTTCCTTAGTGTGCATAAAATGGATTTACTGGAGCAGATATGTAAATGTGCCATATACTTACAGGCATTTGACAAACATGCAGAAATATCAGCACATTAGGTCTGTCTGTGCAGATATTGTCACGCAGTCAACCTGCATGGGAGAGGTGGGTGGGTCGGACAGCATCTGGCGGAGATGGCAGCTTGAACAGGGTAGCAGCGTGTAACACTGAGAGGATCACAGACAGCTGCAGCGTTTGTGTGACTATGAACATACCTGCTCTCATCAGGTGTTAATCAAAGTCCATGCTTGTGGAGTGAATCCAGTGGAAGCTTATATCCGCGCTGGAACTTATGCCCGGAAGCCAAGCCTGCCCTACACCCCAGGAACAGACGCGGCTGGGGTGGTGGTGGGAGTTGGAGACGGTGTCAGCTCTCTCAAGGTTGGCTGTTGCGTCCGTTCCTCTACTAACCCATGTTAGAACTCATCAGTGGATGCTTATACGGATGACATTTTTGTCTTTTTTTCCCCAATTACACAAATGATATAGACACCAATATATTGTCTTTAGGACGAATGTTTAAAGTCCGACATACTGTGCCCTCTTTCTCCTAAGATGCAGTGTTTTTCCGAGTGTCTTCGCTTTGCTGTTAGACAGGTGACAGGGTCTTCACCACAGCCACTGACACGGGGGCTTATGCTGAGTACGCTGTGGCTCCGGTGGACTCCACATACCGACTCCCCGACTCCTTAGACTATGTCCAGGGAGCTGCCATCGGGATCCCCTATTTTACAGCGTACCGGGCTCTGTTCCATAAGTAAGGACTTGTCTTTTCTTCCTGGGGTTTGTGGTACACAGCAGAACCTGGCACACAGTGTGGTGTTGCAGGCTCACAAAAGTTAGTAAGTGGCTTACAGCAGTCAGATGGAAAAATAGTAAACAGACATGATTAAATACGAGTAAAATACCTGAATTTATACAGAGTTAGCAGCTTAATAGAGTCCCATTGGTTGGACATTGGTCTCCATGTGGAGGAAATCGATAAGATAAACACAAAGCCCCCCCCCCTAATCTCATTTGTACATCCTAGGGCTAACGCCAAGCCGGGGGAGACAGTCCTTGTGCACGGTGCCAGCGGGGGGGTAAGGGCCACTAACGGCAGGAGGTGCAGCTCACGTTCCCCTCTGGGCTGGACGTCTTCTGAGTGTGATACTCCACTAGGTGGGAGTCGCCAGCTGTCAGCTGGCCAGAGCTTTGGGCATGAAGGTCCTGGGTACAGCAGGGACTCCAGAAGGACTGGCTCTGGTCCTGAAGGCTGGAGCTCACCAGGCTTTTAACCACAGGGAGCAAAACTACATTGGCAAAATTAAGGTGGGTCGTGGACCTGACTGCTGTCAAAGCTTTATCCCCGAGACCCTCCCGAGGGCTGTTACTAAATATCATGTGACTGCCTATTGACATCGGGATTGACATTCGCTGTGTCACTGTCGAGTGTCTCAGGAGGCTGCCAGTGACCATGGGGTGGATGTGGTGGTGGAGATGCTGTCCAACGTGAACCTCAGCAATGACCTTCAGATACTGGCGCGTGGCGGCCGGGTGGCGGTGGGTATTTCAGGCTCTAGGCTGGATCGTCACCCCAGAAATGTCAGCATCTGTTAACGTCGACTCATTTCAGATTGTGGGCTGCCGGGGATCCATTGAAATCAACCCCCGAGACACCATGATGAGGGAATCCAGCATCATTGGAGTATCGTTGTTCAGCACAACCAGCGTAAGGCATCCTGACAAGCCCCACCGTGTCACGGCTGTGTGTGACTGATGTGTGACGTCCCTGTGACTTTCCGGAGCAGGCTGAGATGGCCGAGGCTGCCGCCGTCCTCTTTGCCGGGATGGAAGCTGGTTGGCTGAAGCCCATCGTTGGTGGCCAGTACAGCATAGACAAGGCCACTCAAGCTCACGAGGACATCATCAGTAGTCCTGGAGCCACAGGGAAGGTGGTTCTGATCATGTGAAACGAGGGGATGCCTTACCCTCTAGAAACATCTTTTTACATGCCTTAGAAATGGATCTCTGCTTCTCACAGCACAGTTTGCAGGTGAAGGACAGCAATGTTGGGGAGGTATATTTGACATCCAAATTGATGCAAGTGTTAATTTCAGGTATTAAAATCCATAGTCAAGACATTGTGGTCATAGAACACAAAGTACTATATTAAATGGTAGTTATATAACATTTACTAATAAAATCTGGTTTTAAACTGAAATTTAAGTGGTGTAAGTACCTCCGTCTATGTGACTTAAATAGGAAGTATTTAATTGCTCGGGCATCTACGTCTATGATCGAATCTGTATGTCAAAAACGCTTATGTAAACACTATGAATAAAGATGTTACACAAGAAATGACCCCTTTTGTGATATTTAAAATGCGGATTCGCGTGATTCATTCAGACATAAGAGCCCTCTAATGGTGGGGACGTTAGCACAGCATCGTCACGTGGCTGCGCCTAGCAACGGCGCCTGGCAACGCAGAGAAGCGCAGGGTGCGAGCGCGCAGAGCCGTGACGCCGCGGACCGCAGCGGTACCTGGCCTGGAAGCGCTGCCGTCATGAGCCACCCAAATGCCGGGTAGGTCGCTGTCATCCCCCGCATCCCCATCTCCGAGTCAGTACCTGGCGTGTCCTAATCGTATGTTACAGCACCGGTTTGGAACTGAATTAATTATTCAGCCGATCGCCCATGCCGTGTGTTATCTGAAACTGCTAAAATGAAAGTGTCAGGGATTGTTACGGATAACAATGAAATGAATATGGGAATAATAGTGTGTTTTGTTTTTGAAACTAACAAAGTGATTATGTTTAAACCAGCGCTGTTATACGTCTGTGATATGACCGCAGTTTCTAACAGCAAACAATCTATTGACGCTTTATAAGATAATCTTATTAGTAATTTCGTGCTATGCTGCGTTGCTAATTAATAAAACAGTTTATTATTTGAATCTCAATGCCAGCAAAAAAATTGCCACGTTTATGGTTTTGAGGTTTGAGCTTTGCTGTTTAATATGCGATCAGACTCATGGAGTGACAACTTGAGAGATAAAGCTGCTAGTTTGCCGAAGACAGGAGTTACTGCACGCATTGTTATGGTTGCTGGGTAACATGAGTGTAATCATAAAGGCAGGGACCCCTCCCGCAACGAAAAAGCTCTCAGAGATACCCGCAGGACCCGACCCCCTTAGGCTCTTTACCAGTCAGCATCATGGTTTTACAGGCGTTATTGTAGGATGGTCAGACCGTTCAGGCGGTGTCCGTTATTTTTTTCTGTATTAATTTCTGTTTAATGACACGTCATGTTGAATGATCGGTTTTGCATGCAGGGAGGATGCGGTTGAGTTTGAGTTACAGAAGTGCCTTGTTAGGAAGCTCGTCTGAGTAACCAGATGCCAGCTATTGTTCAGATCAGGACTGTAACCAAGCTGAGTGGGGGGGGGGGGGGAAATCTCCCCAGATCCCCTCTAACGGGCCGGCTCCCTCTGGGACTGTCTCCCCTGGTTCCTCTCCCTTTGGGGTCCCCATCTCCCACCTGAGTGGCCCTTTGGCCTCTCTTCCAGACTCCTGTCGGCCTACAACAGCCTGACTGACAAACACCTGGCCGGCTACTTCAACAACACCAGGATCCGGCGGCACCTGCTCAGAGTGGGCCTGGTACGTGCCGCAGGCTCCAGTGGGGGGGGGGGGTGTTTGCTGTAGCATCTCAGGGACACCCCGTCAATGCAGGAAAGGCTGGGGCCTCGGGTGCTGCACAGTGTCAGTCATTAAACCGCCTTTCTAACTTAAGTGTTATTTTACAAAAGCTGTCATAGAAATGAATGATACAGCTGTGATGGCACTGGGATTCTTGCCTGTGATTGGCTGTTTTTTGGGCCATCTACATACACTTGGCGGTGGCTACAGATCACCCGGAGTGGGAGCATCGTCCCCGACAAGGAGTACAAGCATAAGCTGATGCGGAAAGAGCACCAGAGGCACATGCGGGAATGCCTGGCCCACGCAATCTTCCACAAGGTGCTGGACATTGAGGTGGGTCTACGCCAGGGGCGGGCAATCTTATCCACAAAGGGCCAGTGTGTACGCGGGTTTTCGCTGCAACTCCCAAATTAGATTACTAATTAGAGGACTGATTGGCTGAAGAGTCCTCACACCTGGGTTTGAACAGCTGACCAACAGGTTATCCCAAAAACCTGCATACACACCGGCCCTTTGTGGATAAGATTGCCCACCCCTGGTCTACGCTCACACATCTGCCTCCTTTTCCATACTGCTGATAGAGTGTAGGAAGGTAAACTCAATGCGACCATCTTCATTCAGCGGCACCATCAGACTCAAATCAAGAGAAGACTGGAGGATTTCGCCCAGAGGGAACGTGTCAACAAAATCAAGGTGAGTCTCACACTGGGTCTTTAATGTTGTGTCCGACGACCCTCGGAGTAACGTGGGTGTTTGTTTGAAGCACCTACTCTGCGGGGTCCCCCAGCAATGGGTCACTGCCAGCACGAGTATGACTCTCTCTGTCCTGTGCCTATGAAACGAGACCAGTTCAGGCGGACTGGCCCTGCTTACCGTCTCTCTGTCGATGCCTGGAAGGTGGAGCGTTCCAGGCGGTATGAGGAGGAGAGTATTACTGTACTGTCACCCAAGCCACCATCCGGCCCCAGGAACGGCTATGCTCAGCATACTGGACCAGAGCTGGAGCCATCGGAGTCCTCCGAATCTGTGAGTCTGCCCCAAACCCGGCAGGTGCACATTGAGTCATCTATCATGTATCAAATGTGTGTGTCTGTGACTGTAGCTGAGCTGCGTCTCTCTCCATGCCATGGCCAGTGTGAACCCACAGGATGTGGGTCTGTGTCTTTTTGTCTGTGTGTGGGTAATGTCTATACTCCATTGTGGGGACCAAATGTCCCCACAATGTGATAAAAACCTGTTATTTTGACATTGTGGAGACCATTTTTTCAGTCCCTACAAGAGGAAAAATCAATTTTACAAAAATCTGTGACTGCAAACAAAAAACTAAAATTGTGAAAAGTCTTGTATTTTGTTTGGCTACTTATGGTTAAGGTTAGGGCTGGGTAGGGGTTAAGGGTGTGGCAATTGGGATTAGGGTTTCCCCATGGAAATGAACGGAAGGTCCCCATTTAGTTGAGCTGTCCTCCTGCATGCATCCTTCAGCTTGGCTCCTCACGGCCGAATACGGCGCCGGGGAAGATGCAACGGCCCGTCCGCCTGCAGCCCATCAGCAACGACACCAGCGCCCCCACCCACCGGCCATCCCGCTCCACCCGCCGGCCCCACGCGGCTGTACAGGACACAGGGCAGCTTACCTGCTGCACGGTAAGACCATCCGTCTTTTTAAGAGTGAATGATCCATCAGATGGTGAGATCAGTGAGGATTGACAGCCGCCGTTGGAGCTGCAGAGGGACAGTAGGACCCCTGAGGGGTGCGTGGTTCCTGCATGCTGAGGTGTCCCCCCCCCCCCAGCAGCACATGTAGAGGGCTGCCTCTCTTTCACTCTCTGCTTCCAGCTGGACCGCGAGATGTTGAGGCGCGTGGCCACAGGCAGGTTTTCTAGCGGAATATCACCATACCGCCTGCCAGTCATCAATAACTTCATCACCCCGGTGCCCCCCCCTCCCCCGCCCAAGGGGACAGGGAGGAGTGTTAAAGGGACTCCCAATGGGACAGTGAGGGGCCGGAAACTGCGACCTACCACAGCACCAAGCGTTCCCATGGTAACCAAGGCAAGGCACTGCATATCTCTGTAATACTTCAAAGAAAACGTATCATAATCCATCCATACATCCATCTTCTAATCACTTATCCTGGTCAGGGTTACAGGGACTTTTGATCATGCTGAAGTTCATGATGGAGATCATTATCTGCTTCCAGGAGTCGAGATTTCCAAAGACCTCCACGCACAGTAATGTCTCTGTCACCATGGTTTACTTTGGAAAGTCGGTGCACCTCTCCCATGATGACGTGGAGCTGAGGGATGAGGTGAAGGTCTTCCAGCAGCACTGTGGTGGGGAGAACATCTGTGTGTACAGAGGGAAGCTGATGGAAGGAGGTCAGCCATCTCACCGTCTCAAAGAACATCTTTCTTTATGGCACCTAGTATCCTAACCCAGCTAGTTCAGCTCAGTGTTTAGGTAAACGGAAAGGCAAGCGAGCCTTCAGAACACATCAGCTGTTTTTCACTGATTTTCTTGATGCAGCGATTTGTCCTTTCTGGGAGGTGGGATCCCATCCAGCTGGATGTGTCTCTATATAACAGCTTCTTCTTCCCACCAGAGTGCTTCCGGTTTGTCTCCAGGCGCCACCGCGGATTCCCCTTCAGTCTCACCTTCTTCCTCAACGGCATGCAGGTGGAGCGGCTAAGCTCCTGCTGCGAGTTCAGGCACCGGGGGGGGGCCCGGCTGGGGGGCAAGCACGGCCATTTTGGCTTCACCAGCGTGGCGGGGGCCTCCCCGTGCTACAGGTAAGTGACTCCTCAGGATCCCCTGCTCTAGGTTCTGACTGAGCCGGCAGGTGGCTGGACACCAGCAGGAGGTCCAGCAGTATCCCTTCGTGTTGGGTTCTTGCTGCCTGAGTGGTTTTCTTTAGACTCAGAGTTCAGAGTTAGTATCTTGTTGATGGAAACCCTCCTCAGATCTCTGGCCGAGGCTCTGTTCTGCACCTCAAGCATCAACTTTTTCCTGCATTATACCTTTTAGGTGTATCATCGCCATGGGTTTGGACAAAAAGCCCACCCCACCCCCAAAGAGAACCAAGGGGGATTCCGAGACTGACGGGTTCATGGCTGCTTCCTCAGATATGGTCCGAGACGAAGATGAGATTCGGTCAAGTCGAAGCTGTGAGTGTGGGAACATCCCCACAGACAGAGAGCAGAGAGATGACCAGTCAGAGAGCAAATGGGGCGGAGCCAAAGATGGTAACGTCCCAGTGGGGCTCTGTGCAGCGCTGCGCCCCTCGTACCTGCATCTTTCTAAGGAGCGTCTCCCCTTTCATGTTACAAAGATTACGAGGAGGACTTTGAAGGCGAGGAAGAGAGGGCAGAAGAGGGAAAGCCAAGGCCTGATCACCACAGCAACGGAGAGGAGGGGCGTCCGGAGAGCCCAGGTGCTGGAAATGGCGTGTACACTGACAGCGAGGCTGAGGAAGACCACCCCAGTGAGTCAGCTTCACCCTCTCCCTTTCCACTGGGCGGGTTACCTGGAGGAAGGTGAAAACTCCATGGTTATATTAGAACCGTGCATTCAGGAGGCTGGTCAGCTAGAGGGCAACACTCAGTGAACGGTAAACCCAAAACAATGTGTCACAGAAGTGAGGTTAATAGTAATTACTTCAAAACGATAATTAATGTAACCAGTGCATGGGCCATGTGGGTCTTATAATGACAAGACTGAGTCTCCTCCACTTTCCATCCCACTCTTTCATGTCTTTCTCTCAGGAGAGAAGCGATCACTCTCACGGTCTTCCAGGAGTGCCACGTTCTCCTCCAGAGGCAGTAAGGGTGACTCTGGGAGTGAAGCGGAGGAGGTGAAGGAGTCCATAGATGAAGCAAGAGTCAGTCTGGCCTCTTGTGCTGTTTCCAAAGCAGAACTGCGAGATGAAGAGCCAGATCTGGATTTGGAGGAGCATGTCAGGGTGGATGATGGTGGAGCAGCCTCTCTGCCAGGGGATGAGACCCATCACCAGTCTTTAGGAGAATCCATGGACACCAGGTCTACTGGTGATGCTGAGAACATGACTGAAATACAAACTGGGACCACAGCACCAGCTGAGGCAGAGACCACTGATTGGGAGCACTGTCAGGATGCTATGGAGAGGGACGGACTGAAGGACCCCCCCGCCAGCTCACAGACAGTCACAGAGGGAGCTGCTCCTGAAGAGGAGGACACACAGGAGGTGGAGTTCGAGAGGGGTGAGTAGCCCTGTCTCCTCCTCTGTCCTGCCGGCCTGTCTGTCTCTGCACAGGAGACGGCCGTGGACCCTGACGCATGCGCTCTCTGGCCTCCTCTGAAAGGCTCACTGGAAACTACCTGTTGTGTCGTTTGGTTCAGCTTTCGATTTTACAGACAACCTACTAGACTTTATAAAACCTGGAGGACACAGCCACTCCACCGCGGCTCAGCCTGCTTCTCCTTAAACCAGCAAGAAAGTGGCCTGTAGACGCTTCCCAGCAGGCCAGCGGCCTCAGAGCAGCTGATCAGATCAGCATGATGTCACGTCTGACTAGAGCTAAGCCTTTACGTGTCTGGCTGCCCAGCAGAAGCACGGTTGAGTCGCCCTGGTCTGCCGTGGATCCTGTGCATGTTTACTCCATGCCTGATGGACGTCGTGTTCACTTCATATATTCTCATTTCTCTTTTGGTATGTAACTCTTTCCAAATGCTCAGTGTGTCATGGAGAATAACGTGTTACGCGCTGTTCGGTTCCCTGTCAGTGAGTCGCATGTCTCTCCTTCATCTCTTCATCTCTCTTGCCCAACATTTCCTGCCCGTGTAGATAGGGGCACTGCCCCCTGCATGCTGGCTGCGGGGCACTGTCTGCATGTGTCTACGATCGCAGGAAAATCTATTTCTGTGTTACGATGTGGGGAAAGTACACATGTAACTCTTTAAAAAATAATATACTGTATCTGTGAAATTTATTGTCTGTTCTTTTCATTTTTGATAAAGCAGTTTGCTGGACATCATAAACAGCTGTATTGTTGCGATGTGGGCAAGGACAGACACATTTATTGTAGAAAAATGCATTTGTATTATTGAATATAGTAGGAATATCCATGTATGTGAATTCTTTTGTTTTAAAAACTGCTTACCATAGTGCAGACTGTTATGTTTCTGTAACCATATTCTGAATAATGTATTTACGTATTAGGGTTTGTCATACATTTAGTGATGTCATCACTCAGTCTGTTTAGGCCCCCAGACACAGAGTGAGAGGCCGGCTCATTGGCTGCTCTGTAAATAAACGAAAACCAAATCCAGCTTACAGCACACTGTAGCTATTCTTATAGTTTCATTGTATCAATCTGTTTTTATTTCAATGTATTTACAACTTTAAAATAAATGTTTTATTTTGACAAATTTTCCCACCTTTCTTGATTTGATTGATTTGATCTGGATGGAATTGGATTCATATTCATGCTTAAATGAAACCATTTCTCAGTCGTCATGACATTTTCCGAAGCTGATTTTGATTAGCTGAGCAGAGCTAATGCTAATTTGTCGTGCGCATCTGTGCTCTCTAACCCAATGTCTGCTGTCTGACCCAAGCCAAGTCTGTGCAGGAGAAGCTGGCTGAGGCCATAATGAAAGAAGCACACTGTAGCTCGGAACCGGAGTTCAGTGACACCAGCACTGACGAGGAGGAGGAATCCTCCTCGGTACCACGCAGAACCCCGGATGAGAACCTCATGGGTATTAGCTTGGCTTTTCCTGGAGACAGACCTTCAACGCAACACATTCCTTCATGATACGATCTGTGTCTCATCTGCACAGGCTACGATAATTACTGATTATACCTGAATGAGATCAGTATGATAAATAAATATATTTTAAAGTGAAATTTATATCATTGGCTGCTGAATTGTCTTACTGATATAGGAGTACATTGTACATCTTCCCTGCAAGCAGCTCTGCTCAGATCAGCTAGCATTTCTGTTATTTCTACCATCTTAATTGTCTACTCACCTTCCTCTTATGTGTTCCAGACATGGGGCTCTCTGCTGCCCTCTCTCTGCCATGGACGCTCTGTGCAAAGGCGCCAAAAGATCAGGAGGCATCAGCAGAGAGCCCTGAGACTGCAGCACTTCCTACAGAGCAAGCTGGATGTGAGGCACCAGTAAAGCAGGATACAGAAGACAACCAAACAGGCTCTCATTCAGATCTGGAAGTTGGAGATGGCCTGGAGCCTCTCCAGGAAGCTGAGGACCCCCTTCCTGATGCTGAGGTGAAAGACGAGGATGACGGTCCAGATGAGACTCAAAGAAAGAGGGAGACATTGGACAATGAGACTGCGGAATGGGAGCGGAACAAAGCCCATGAGATATCTGGAGAGGCCCAGAGTCCACATTCCGAGTCTAACTTCCTGGCAGTAGCTGAAGAGAAATCATGTGAGAGGGAAAATGATGCTGAAGATGACAAGTCTATAGCTGATCTGGTTGAGAATGAAGCAGAAGAGTTTATAGAGACAGATGAAAAGAAAAACAGCATCATCACAGAAGAGTGTGATGCGTCTGACAGAGGAGGAGAACCAGAGGACAAAGCTGAAGATGATGGGCCAACAGAATGGGACGAAGGCCAGGTCACATTAGCAGAAGAAGAGATCATGGTTGAGAGCAGTGTGGTCAGCAGAGAGAGCTGCGGAGGAGAGGAGGTGACGACAACACAGGACCAGGAGGAGGCAACTGTGGAGGTTAGGGAAGATGGACAAACTGAAGCCACAGAACAGGACATCACTGAGACTGCTGAGGGGGTGAGTGAAGAAGACAAGGGCACTGCAGAGAAATCCAGGACAATGGAGGCAGGGAATGAACACGATGACCAAGAAGATGGTAACGTCATGAAAGGAGAGACAGATGAAGCAAAGTGTGGGACAGAAACAGTGAAGGATGAAGAGATAAATGATGAATTAGCAGGCAATATGGAAATGGAGGAAGGTGGGAGTGAAGTAATTGGTGGAGATAATGAAGAGGAGACTATGGAAGAAGTCCATGGTAATGGCACACAGGAGGACCAACTAAGCACTGTATCTAACACTGACGTAAAAGTGGTGGAAGCAATCAATGAGGAGAATGGAGAAGCAGAGGATGAAGGTGTACTCAAAGAAGCAGGACGTGATGGTGCAGAGGGAGACTCCGAGCTCAGGATGGAGGATACTGAAGAATGTAACATAGAAACTAAGCTGGACAGTGAAAGTAGAGTAGATACAGAAGCAGATGGACAGATAGATCAGAACCTAAGTGAGCAAGATGAGAACAAAGAAACAAACTCAAAAGAAGAGGAGAATGTGGAGAGACCAGAGGATTTGGAAAATAGCAATAATGCAGACCGTGTAGTTGAGGAAGAGAAGAACAAAGTTCAAGGAGAAGAACTTGAGGGTGAACATGGAGAAGGGCTGCTTGAGGCAGACCATGCAACAGATAGAGGAGGAGATACCAGAGATGACGAAGAGGTTATGGAGTTTGGAGTAGAATGTGAGGGTGCAGAACAGGTCAAACCTGAAATGGAGAAGGAGGCAAGCAGTATGAAGACTGAAGAAACAAAGTCTCCAACAGAAGAAAGTCTGAATGATACAGAAGAACCAGAGCAAGCAGAAGCAGCTGAGTTAGACGTTAAACAGGCACCCCAAGATGACAATGACCAACCAGAAGAGGAACGTGATCCTGACCCTGATAAAATGGCAGACTCAGATCTGGATCCAAAGCCTGCTGACAGTGCGATGGCAGAAAATGAGGCCAATATGGGAGAGGGTATGGTTGATGAAAGAAAAGGGCATGACCTAGCCATGTCAGAAGGTCTGGCTACCACAACGAAGACAGTGGAATTTCATGGCCAGCAGGCTGACGAAGCTGTGGACCTCACAGCTGAAGACATGATAACAAAAGAGTGGAAGGACACTGACTCTGCAGAGGAAGAAAAAGGTGACCAGATGGATGAAACCAGGAGTAACTACCATGCTACACAATCTCAAGCTGATGACCAACTTGTGACTTTTCAGAACAAAAGTTCACAACCAATGATAGGACCTGATGAGGAAGAGATTAGTATAGCAGCTAATGGTGATGGCAGAAACTTAGAGGCCACAGGTCAGGATAGTGAGACGGAGCCTGAGCAGAGTGAGATCATGGTAATTACAGATCTGCCTTCACCTGAGGAAAGTGTAGCTCAGTTTGAGCCAGAGTCCAAAAATGAGGAATCAGGAGAACATAGAGACAGTAAAGGGACTTCAGATGTAGAGGCAGATGAAGGGTCAGGTCCAGAATCAGAGGCTAGGAGCTCACACACAGTGAACCCTTCCCCAGCCCCCACTCACGGAGGCTACCAGCTGATGGTTGCTAGGGGCGGATGGAATGGGCAGCAGGGGAAGGGTCAGCTTAAGTACATACAGGCATTACCAGTAAACGCGAGTAGTCCCAACGCAGCACCAAGCGAGGAACCGCAGCATACTGGTGCTGAGGTATTTACTCTCAAAGATCTACCGTTTCCCACCATACAGATCATGATGGATTCCTTAGTCTGACTATATCACTACGATGATGACTGGTGACGCTCAAAATAATGTTATGCTTTTCTTTGCAGGATTATTGATTCCTGAATTGAAGGAGAAGGATCCGTATTTTTCAACATGAAGTCTTAGTTATTAGTTGCTCATAGGACAAAATAAATACTGCAGCATTTCCTTCTTCACTGTGATGTTCTTCGCTGACGTAGCATCAGACGCAATGTTAGCGTTAGCTTGGAAAACCACCACTGCATCTACCACCTGCTCAAAGCAACGCTAAAGTTCCACTGTTCCGAGTTTGCCAGCATGATGGAAGGAGATGTAGCGAGCTTTCAGCTGTACTGTGTGGCTTTCACACAGGTTCTAGCCCTCCTGTGAGCGTGCTGCTGAAAGGGCCCGTCGCTGTTCCCCAGAAACGGATACCCTGCTGCTGGCCTGCCTCACCAGGCAGGAATAATTAATGGCCTGTCAGCCCCTCCCCATGCCCCTGTGCACTCAGGACATCACACAGTAACGGGGCAGCCGTTAGGACCGCCCCCCCCCCCCTCAGGCCCATGGGAAGTGACGTCATGCAGCCTGCTGCCACTTAGCTGCTCAGCTAATTAGATTTTTGCTGTGATGACAGATAGTGTGAGGCACTTGCACTAGGAAATGAGCGCCATTGCCTAACGGGATTAGAGGTAAATAATGAACAGGCTCCTGCCTTCTGTGTGATTTGTTTGTGCTGCTAATGAAGGAGAGATATCAGAGCAGAGATGTATTTATTTTCATATGTCTTAATTGCCCTGGTGGCTAAAAATTAGCTTTGACTTCTATCAGAACACTGTGTTCTCTGTCCTTAGCCAAAATATTGCTGGTTATGATGCAGGAGAAACCACACGTTTGTTTAGACGATGAAAGTGTGGCAGTGTGCTGAGGCAGTGTGGCGTCTGCTCCTCTCAGCGCTTTTGTCCTGAGAATGGAAGTCCACCACTGGCCAGAATTCCTAGGAAGTTTCTAAAAGGCCTTCATGGGTCTTTGTTTTAGATTGGAAGTACCTTGTTTTTTTTTTTCAAATTTTTGGTGTAACTGTTTTTTTTTTTGTTGTCAAATAAAAACTAATAATCCAAATGGTTTTTTAATTTTCTGTGTTCACTACTGCACAAAAGACTGCTTTTTAAGACAAAATAATAAAATAATAAAATGCGACTTTATTTCTTCTTCTAACACATTATTACTTTAAACATGTTGATTAGTTAAAAAGTGCAAAGAATAAGAAGAGCGAGGTACAGTAGTAAGGTAAAGCACACCTGGGTCATCTTCATGTGACACACACACGGAGAAAGTGGGGAATACATTTACTCTACAGTGACATCATTGTGGACAATCTGTGGTGGATTACATGCAGAAAATGCTTATAAACAGCAGACACACCACTCTGTATCACGAAGCCTTGATGATCACGGTCAGTGTCGGGGTTGACTCCCCGGGGACAGGCAGACGGTCAGTTACTGTCCTCGTAGCTGCCACCATTGCTGCAGGAGCGGAATCGCATGGTGCTCATGGGATCTGAAACGTAGCCTTTTGGGGAAGATTTGGTACGTCAGTGGCCTGTTGCATGTGCCTCATTCACCCCCTCTTTTTCAAAGGAAACTTCCAGAAGATATAACCCACCATTCCTGTCGATTGGCGGGTACTGCAGGTTCCTCCGCAGTTCATCCAAAGACAGGCCTTGGGAAGAGCGACGTTCCGTGCTGGAACACAGACACGTGGTGTTTGGGCCACAACCAACCCTCCACAAACACCCCTCTGCGTGGCCGATCCCACCCTCCTGCTGTAACCCTTCCTCTCCTGTTTAATAGATCTCAATGTAGACAATGTGTCTGCCAGACAGATACAGTGAAGCTGCAGCCATGTCTCTGTATCCATGGTCTCAGGTGACATCCTGGGAATTGAGCATGCCCAGTTCTGCAGTAACCCTACCCGCTGAGCCAACGCACCAGACCCTCATCTTTCATGTTTAGTCTGGATTTAGGACAGCAGGAGCTGGAACCTGGAGCCTGAGAGAGGCAGAGGACAGAGAACCTGAGGGCACAGAGGCTGAGGACAGAGAGGCCGAGGGCAGCGAGGCAGAGGGCAGAGAGGCGGAGAGGCTGAGGACAGAGAGGCCGAAAAGAGGCCTCACTCCCCCCCCCCCGAGGCGACCGGCTGGGGAAAGAAGCTATCTGTGGGGTAAGTGTTGTGCCGTGTCCTCAGCTTTGCTGCATCAGCTGAACTACTGTTCCTCTGTCTGCAGGATGAATTAAAATCATTAACGTATTAGCAGAGACACTGTTAGATGTTAAGCTCCGTGCCTAGTACCCATCACTCCGACTGCGCCGTGCACGTTAACTGTCACCTGCCTACCTGTGCCCCTCACGAATGCGGCCGTAAGCAGACGCAGCAGAGAATCAGCAGGGGCAACAGCATGCATGATTTATCACATTCGCTCTCTGGTGTTAGCCCGTCTCCTAGCAACACCAGCGCAGCTCTGGGAACAAAGCCAGGCCCGCGTCCCTGGGACGTGCCCCTTAGCACAGGGGACAGGTTCTTTAGCTGACTGCACATGGTGGCTCCATCTTAACATGTCCGGGCTCGATGTTCGTGCCCTCCTCTGCCCTGTTTCCAGCTGGATTGACCTGGGTGGCTGCTTGTTAAAACAGTCACTAAGTGTTACGGGTCTGCATGTTTCATGGGAACATGTCTGCTGTATTTATGCACTTTCCTACACATCGCTGACTTCATCACTCAAAAGCAGGCCTGTGGTGTGTGGTGGTGCATGACGTGTGTGATGGTGTGTGATATGTGATGGTGTGTGTGATGGTGTGTGATATGTGATGGTGTGTGATATGTGATGGTGTGTGTGGTGGTGTGTGATATGTGATGGTGTGTGAGGTGGTGTGTGACATGTGTGATGGTGTGTTATGGTGTGAGGTGGCAGACAGAGCACCCACCTTTGGGACCAGACTGCATAGGCGCGGGCATTGAGGGCATACTCCAGCTCGAAGCGTGAGCGCAGTGCTGCCACGTGGCTGCGGCCCGGCCCACCCCGTGCCACCAGGCAGTCTGACGAGGCGGATGGGGACAGTGACCCGCTGCTGTTACTGGAGGCTGGAGACATCAGCTGTGGGGGGGGGGGAGTGGGGTGAGTGTGCAGTCTCACATGGGACGTCTGCAAGCTGAGGGCCGTCTGTGCAGTTAACCTACCTCCACGTTGCAGAGACATTCCTCAAGTTTGGCGACCACCTCAGAGAACTCAGGCCTCTCCTGTAAGAAACACCATTGTTTGTTATTGTTTGTAGGCCCAGACACTTCAGGAAACACTTTTAGCTTAGGCTAAGTTTAATGCTTTTAGCTCAGGCTAAGTTTAATGGTTTTAGCACTTTGTTGATATAAACATAGATTTGGGGCCATAGCAACAAATTGCCAGTGCATCACAGGGCACACAGCAGGGGACACCCTGGACAGGATGCCAGTGCATCACAGGGCATGGGGCAGGGGACACCCTGGACAGGATGCCAGTGCATCACAGGGCACATAGCAGGGGACACCCTGGACAGGATGCCAGCCCATCACAGGGCACAGGGCAGGGGACACCCTGGGGCACCTTGGGGACAAAGCCAATTGGCTTTGATAAACATGAAAACAGACTCTATGTTGCAGCCACACGCGCAGAGCTGCAGAGGCCAAGAGTGGTGATGCCTTTGACGCCGACAGGAAAGGGGGGCAGAGCGCATCCCCTGATATGGATGAGCAGCTGCAAAGCCGGGCAGCCATCTCTGTGACACACCATGAAAGGTGAGCCCCCTCCCACCCTCCGCATGGACAACAAACACACTTTACCGCAATATGCACTCATCAGAGCGCATGTCCATTAAAAAAGGCACTCACTGTAATACTGGACGCTAGCTATAGCTGCTCTGTTACAACAGTGTAGTGATATACAGGTATCCGTCGACTTAGGTCCCATGGAGTAAGGTATATAGTGAATAATGCAGTGAGGGAGAGACGCCTGAAAGTGGACGTAGCAGGACGTTAGCGGTGCATCGCTTGGTGTAACAGCTGCAGGAAATTGAGCAGCACTACTGACTGCATAGTGACCCACTGTCCATATTGTAAGGCTGGAGGCCTTGCAGGCCCTGTCGGTCTGAGCTCTGGCAAGCCTGTAATGCTCCACCCAGTGTCCTGAAGCAAAGGTCCACCGGATCCGACAAGACTGGACCCAAATCACCTGATCACCACATCAAAAGGGACACCTCACCCCCACTGGGCGGCCAGAACCCCGCACCCAAATTCCAGCGACAAGGCCTGGCTGCGTCAAGACACAGATGCATCCTACACTCGCTAACTCACACCAATACAGGAGGTATTACCCCAGACTAACATTAGGGACACACACACCCATGTTTGGTCTCGTTTGAATGGTCACAGAACGACGGGCACAATACTCTCAACCTTAAAGCAGCATGTTTTCACATAAGAGAAATATAGAAAGTAAGACTAAACCCACCAAAGTGGAGGATCTTGTCACATTCCTCCTTAAGCAATTTGATTGGCTGAGGGTCTGAGAATTGATAAGATCAACAGTTCTCCA